ATATATATATATATATGTATGTATGTACATGTATATATATATATATATATATATATATATATATATATATATATATATATATATATATATATATATATATATATATATATATATATATATATATTCTCACGTATTGATTCACGGATGGAAAAATGTGATGACACTATATTCCGGGATATCATCCGTTCGCTCGTTGAACTCCGACTGGAATCCTGCAAATCTTGCATCCGACTGGAATCCTGCAGACGTTTCGCCAAAATCTCACTTGGCATCTTCAATGCTCGCGCTCCGAAAACACTTCGAACACTGGGCAGTGTTCTCTATATATATATATATATATATATATATATATATATATATATATATATATATATATATATATATATATATATATATATATATATATATATATATATATATAGAGTATAATTTTTTTTTCTTTTACACAAACAAAACATAGGCATGGTACAAAAACATTTTTGCAGAAAGTTGAGCCATATTGTTTATTGTGACAAAATTTAAAAAACGATCCAGCTGCAATCAGATGCATACTTGAATTTTCATTTTGATAGTCGAGTGATCATCATCACTCGACTAATAAATTGAAAATTGAAGTATGCATCTGATTGCAGCTTCGTCTTGAAGTTTTCAGATTCTTCTTCGTTCGTGTTTAAATGATAATCATCGATATAGAAGCCAGAATCAGTAAAAAAGGTCTATATCTTTCTTAAGTTTTCCGAAGTAGTAGTACGTCGATGTCAGATTTCCTATTTTTGAAATCTTTTTCTAAACATACTATAAACAAATGATCAGAGTCACCAACTGACTTAATTGAAAGTGTTTTGTCATGCTAATAACATCAAAGTATGAATTTATTTTTGTTAACCGGCGCATTCGCCGAAATTTGTATTTTGATTAGTTTCTTCAAGCTTTTGTTTTCTTCTTCGTTCAAGTCTTCGATAGCGAGGTTGTTGGAGTTTTCACAACATTTTCCTAGAGCATCAGACACGTTATTAGCTTTAAGAAGCATAAGGTCGATGGGATGGAACTCGGAGTCAGGACTACCCACGTAAAGCTGTATATCATGACTAGAAATATTGTGTTTTTACATCCATCCTCCTGTTTAACTTTGCCTACTATTTATTACTTCCAAACTTCAGCCTATTATGGAACCCCCCTTTCGAGCAGACCCTAACCCGTAACCATTCCAGGACCGCCCTAGGAATTTCACATTCAAATACCTCCGTGATATATACGAACATATTGCAATTTAACCATAACTAACTATAAACTATTAAGAACGCTAAGAAACGCTTCTACTTATTCCAAAAATACCCCGCAGCATCAATGCTTAATCAAATTTAAAACGATCCATTTACTCTTCTAATAAAAATTTCAAATTTCTATAACTATTCGTTACAGTACATCTCACGCAAGACTTACTTAATGCAGAATAAACATCTGTTGGGATGGGTTTTACTACGGTCCTGCGAATGTCTGCGGTTAAGGTACTGTAAAATACTTAAAACGTCAAAGCAATAAATGCACAATATTTTTGGTCTTACGATACCCGCTGCGCTGTTTTACCACGAAGTGTGGCCTCGGCCATTACAAACTTGTTTGCGCCAGGAATTTTCGCATTATACGCTGGACGCGATACGGTTTGGGGTAAGAACCTCGATCTAGGAACACCTGACTGGAGCTCCTCGGGAGCAAAACCGGTGGATTCATGCACGACGGAATTTAGAAGTTTCTCGAAATGCGGCACCATATAGCTCAAAGCCTTTTTCCATACATTGGAGGCAAATTGGCTGCCTTGATCGTGAAGAATACGCGGATCAATCGATTTAGCGTCACAATGCAATGCTCCCAAACCATCCACAGCAATTATGTCATATTTATTTTTAGGGATTATCTGTATTTGAGGCGGGCGGGACACTAGATATTTTCGGCTTCTGGCATATCTCGCAGCCCCGAAGTTCTTGCTTAATCGTACGATGCATGTTTCACCACCACATCTCACCACACATTGTGATCCAAGTTTTCTAAACTCCAAAATCGCCCAAAACGCTATGATAATCATATATGAATTTTGTTATTAAATTACGAGGAACGCAAAGTAAGTTATTGTACCGTTCCGAACTGTTTTTATATAAGAGACGCTGATGGAAAGTAAATTGTGCGCGTAGCTTTTCCGAACTTGGCAAAAGCAGTTTAATGTTGTTCGGCTTTTCATCTGATTCGACTAAAACTCTTTAAAAGCGGTTTGAAATTCCTTGGGGGGTTGCGACAATGAAAATATCTGTGACGTTTTGTTTTTTGGCTAGAGATATCTCACACACGAGCAACGACCGAGTGCGTCGGACAAGATAATCTCCTGCTCAAGGACAAACTCTATCGCGAAACAATATTCTTGCAAAACTAAAGCCCACGCGTAAGGTAAAACTCATATCCGACAAGAAGCACCGCCATTTCGATACGGCGAACAGTACCGCTAGTATTTTTTGTTCGGTCGAACGATATGCTCTCTCCCGATGGAGCAATAATCGGCAATTAGGCAAATTATCGTTTCTATTTTTTGAAAAAGATAACAGGTAACACCTACGTCACTTTCGTCGTTTTTAACGTGAATCGGATGCACTAAAATCGGATGATAGAGTAAAGCTGCCGACTTCTGTTCTTTCCTTAAAGTTTGAAAAGAAATTTCTTGTGTCTTACCCCAGACCAACGCTGACTTCTTCTGTAAACACAATGACCCAATGTTAGGTCTGATTTCTGTTGATAAGAATATCTAAGAGCAGTAAAACTATTTCAGCCCGAGTCACTGAACCCAGAATTAAAACACCTTATCTCTGCTCTTCTCTCTAATAATTCGACATTAACGCAAGCCGAAAGCAATCTCACACTTGCCATTGTTGTCCGTCCTTACATTCAAAACATCACTGACCACATATCGAAAGTTCTAAAGAAGTATAACGTCAAAACCAGATTTACCACTTGTCCAAAAATCTCCCAACATCTTTGGTTCCTACCATAAAGCAGATATATTTTTTAAAGCTGGTTTTATAAGTATATGCAAGACAATTTTTTTTTACCCTAACCGTACTATCTCATTTATTGGACGCTGCAAGACAAAACTCAACGCATCCATCTCTTTTAATCGTCGTCATCAATGGCGATATATAAGGCGAATTGGCATGTTTGATGACCGCACTCCGATGAGCGATAGGTATCGGATAAATCTTTGAAAAATTCTCCAAAATTTTCCCAAAACAGTACTTGTGATCATTGAAAAATTTTATTAAATAAATCACCACAATCATTTTCGGTACTCAGAATAGTTTTATCCCAAAGGCACTGTATATTAAAAACATATAAATTATGATCTTCGCTGCTAACGGCTGCACAAATTTTAACAAGAACATTAAAATTACTTTCGAGTTAATTTTTTGTTTCAGCTAATACTAAAAAAATTTAATATATTTTTTTAAAATGAAATGTTGCTCGGAGAGTTTAATATTTACACCGAAGTTTCGCAAAAATCACAACCAAAAAAAACCGGGTGGGTCAGTTTACAAATTATTAAAAATTCGCGGGAGAATTTTTGGCTTTCCATATGGAAATTAATCTGCGCCTGGAACGAAACTTTTTTGTACTTCACCTATAACTCTAACACCCGTACAACAAAAATAAGCAATTTCGTTGTGATAGCTGTGACTACACGTCATCTGACAAAGCAGATACCGTGCTACTGCTATCGATCAATGCAGGAAAGAAAAAGTTATATATTTTTATTGTTATGCAAGGTGACCGATTATCTAAGATTTCATGTTCAAAATTACATGGAGCCGACGGCAATTCTTCACACAGATTACTAGCTATAGGAACCCGCTTTACCACCACTCTCCCCATGCACAAGTTCAAGTCTCTAAGTTTCGATGTCGTGTTCCATATTCGATTTTTTTTTATTTGATTCCCGCTGTACCTATTTTTGTAAGTAAAAATAAGTGAATTGTTCTCAATCACACAATTCTGTGATTGTTGTGTTGGTATATATTCGAGAATTTGTTTTTTTCTGGAACGCTACGAAAATTATCTGCCCGGGGGAGAATTTCGTTTATTAGCAGGGAAATGGCAAACAATCTTACCTATGAGCTCTGTCGTCGTAAGAGGAACCTGAAGATGTTTGGCTAGCTCAACGTAAAAGTTAGCCAGTGAGCCATCTTTATACTTGGCGGTAGCCAACCCTATTTTTTACTTCGAACTGTTTTTCGACGCCCCAAAAATTCTCGACAAAAGCCCGTTTAAAACTAACATCATTTATAAAACACCGATAGTAGGCATCCCACCACAATTTTGCGGACTTTTTAAAGCTATTATTTAAGCAAAAACGTATGTTCTGAAACGGAGTATTATGAACATCTAGAATGCTCTCCTACTTTAAATTCATGTAATGAAAGAACCTTTGAGCACTTTTACTAAACTATTGCAGAATAATTATTCATGCATTCATAGATCGATTTCGTCATGCTTATAAGGAACAGTGTTTATCGGCAGAGACTGTTTGATTTGATTCAATAGTTACTGTTATCTGGGAAACAACCATAAAATATAATAAAAATATGATAGTCACCATTGAGAAATGGAACAAAATTTACAACTGATAGAAAATATACTTCCTAAATGCTGTAAGCACTGAAAAGACGAAGGCTAGCTTAAAAGCATTCAAACTTCTTAAAAAATCAAAATAAATTGTTGGTGTAAAAAGTACGACCTGTACATTCTATCTCAGATTGTTGTTTTTATAAAAGTCATTAAAAATTAAGGAGGAACATTTGATGGTGTTAACAGATATAATGATAAGAAAATACATTGCTTTCATTAACATTGGACCATTTAAACGAACGGTAACATGATTTGACAACCCACACCATAGCTTAATTGTTGCCATTATTCCTGCCCGGTCATACCGCGTTTAAAAAAATACTATATATGCAAGTATGCTGTATTTTTCTAGATCTCGAAACAAAAAAAAAGCAAATTGAATTTTTTGATGCCTAGGGCTTCAATTATTTCTGAAAATTTTTATGAGAAAAAACATACCATTTTGAGAGTTTAGCGGGTGTTTATTTTGATTTTGATGTTGGGCGACTTAATTAATCAAGGTGGCTATGACAAGACTTCTTTCCAAACTTTGATTGACAAGTTTCAAAGGACCAATGAGTTTTTACTTAAGATTAGAAACAAGTGAATGTCGCGTTTTCAAAAGGGAAGTCCAAAAGCAATAAAAGCTGTTGTATACGAAACTTCTTTTTGCCAAATACAAAGAAATCGAATTCAACAAAATGACAACAATGTTTAGAATTGTGTCAAGAAACAAAATGGAAGAGCAATAATTCTGACAGAATAACATCTGTTCAAAGTTATGAGCAATATTCAACACACCGTCTTACTTACTAAAAGAAATTGTGGTAGTTGTTAAATAAGTATTACATAATTGATACATAAGAAATACATGATATCGAGCATAATATTTTTCGTTATTCGTAAAAAGAATTCCTACATTAGTGTTTTACAAAAAAAGTAACGTTGTAACACGAAACATGCTGTATATACCTGCTAAATAGTATATACGCTGTGTTGTAATAACATCAAAATTGAAATTGAAGTCCGGATTTGATCGCGTTGATAATCCTATTTTCTGACTGCCTCTTGCTTTCTCCTTGAAGCTTAGTCTTCAAGTTTTTAGCTTGTTCTTCGTTCATGTTTTCGATAGCGACGACGTCCGAGCTTTCGGTGTGAATAAGAGGCATTGTTATAAAAGTCATAATCACTCCAAAAGGCCAATATTTGCTCCAATGGTCAATTAGCGTTGAACGGGGAAATATTTTTAAGGGGTCGCTTCCTAATTTTCTTAAGTGTTCCGACAGGGAGTCGTAATATATATCGAAAATGGATTTTATACTTTTTAACGTTTCTTCCGAGCATACTGTGAACAAGTGGTAAGAGAGGTCCATCATCGGACTCGCCAATTGACTTATTTGAAAATCTATCAGTTTCACACCTGCTGGATTTTTCTTTTCTTCATTCTGAAAAAGAAAGTAGGGTTTAAGAGAACATTAATAATTTATTCACTCTAACCGAGCTGTGAGTGCGTAGGTACGGTATTATAGTCAAATTAATATATCAAGCCTTCTTTTGACAGAAACAAATGTTCGGACACTATTGAGAAAGTTTTTCTTAAATTTATTGGGAAACCGCTGTATTCAATGTTTGAATTTTCTGGATTGTGAGAGGCATTAACGAATTTCTCATCCCTTTTGACTTGCGCAGTCACCGAAAAGTTGTCTGTTTTTTAAAATAAGTTATTAAATATCTGAAGTGTAAACGATAAGCAACAGAGTTACATGTAATTTTTTTTTCTACTGTACACTCTAAAATATCCCATTATGCAAAGTTTCACTCGTCCGTTATCAGATTCGTAACCAAGTTTGTTGTATACCATTATCCACTGCGGAAGGGAAAGCTTATTTATATTTATCATTTGCAATATATTAGGATAAATTCGGATTTTGTGTTCAGATTTTCAGAAATAGGATTACTTGTTCCATTCCAAAATCAATATAGAAAGGTTGCGCGGGCTTTAACTGTTTACAGGGCTAAAATTTTATTAATGTTGGTATATGTCGTATTATAAATCAATATCACTCGGGGAAAAAGTCTCCTATGAACTCCCTGCACTATTTTTTTCTATAATTGTAGAAATTATAAATCTGAAGGGAAACAATATTACCTTGTGCTTTCACAAAATGATGATTTCGTTGCTTTTATTATACAATTTTAAGAGATTAATTATTTACTCAATAAGCAGTATTCATTGTAAGTTGTTGATCGTTTCAGGAGAACTCCTCAATATTTTTGAAGAAGAATTGCACAGATTCGTTTTTGTTTTTCGTTTGGTAGCTTCAGCCATCTTGAATTATTTTTTAAAACCAAGAATTTTTTATAACAGCATGTTTTGCATTCCATTCATGCTATCGCAGGGGCAGAAATTAAGTTTTTTTTCTCAAAAATAAAAACGACGTATAAAAAGAAAATCGAAATATTAAATTGCGTATTGATTTACTTAATTCCAAAAGTTTTCATAGCGTATATTTTCTCCTCATAAATATGGATTAAGAAATAAAAACGACGAATTATTCTCATTTTTTTATTACTAATTAAATTTTTCATATGGGAATACATTTGAACCAACCCATTTCGTTGTTTTTCTTATTCTTTTTCTTATTGTTCGTCTGATTTTGATTTTAGCGAAACCCGGCGATTACAATTTTATAACACGTTTGTTAAAAATTTGAATTTTTGAAAATTAAATTACTATGTGTCTTGTGCAGGAAGGTCGCCTTGATTTTTTGATTTATCCAACTGCTCCCTCTTGTTCTACTTTAGATATTTCATTAAAACTTACCGCATATATTTCATATATTTTAAAAAAAATTAATTTCTATACGTACTTAACTAGGTGATAAAGTAGTATCACATTTATGTTAGAGATAAAAACAAACCCTTTCATAGTATTACCTCGTATTTAAACATAAAGTTGTTACTCCAACAATCCCCGTGAGTAATAACTCGAGGCTCCAATTCTTGGACAACCACTTCCCGCCAAGTGTCATAAATCTTGCCATGGAATTTCTGTTTGAATTTTCTCAGCAAGTCGAATTCATTATTGTCTGTCAGTATTTTGGTGACGTCTTCTTCCGCTTGTCCGAAAAGGACCTTAAACGATTCCGTCTCGCCCAAGATCGGCCATAAGCTCTGAATGTTGGACAGCTCTCCAAACAGTTTCGGATTTTGTTCGGCCAAGGCCAATGAAGTAGCATGCCACTTTCCATATGCCTCCATGGTAAGCTTGATATGAGCTGCGTCAAGCGGAAATGTTCTACCACGGATGTCGTAGCTAATTGCTTTCAAGTTTTGAAGCGCTATTGCTTCATAGTCCTCTGATATGAACGTGCCAAAACACTCAGGTAGAAAATCGAAGGGTTCTAAGTTCTTCTCTTTCAAAAACTGCTGGAACGCAGGAAATACGTTGCCGTACATGTGAATTTCCCGTTCGAACGCCAACCGCACTGGAAATTTTTTTCTTAGGTCTTCCCCTCTCTTACCGAATTTAAGAACCAAATGGTGTGTCCGCGTTTTCCCATTTTTCGGCGTCACTTGCGCGAATATTATATCACCCAGATAACCGTCACCATTTTCGCTATTACCGCTGTAGGTCACGTCAAAATTGCCTATATTACGGTTTGCAAATATTTTGTCGATTAATTCGCGGACCACTAATTGGTTATTTGTAGCGACACTCATTTTGAATTGTACAGAAATCGGGCCGACAAGGCTTCTTATATTTACGCAGTTTGCGGTGATGACAATCTCGTTTTTATAATGCTATAATTGAACCATATACGCAAAATATCACCATTTACCGTTATCGCTGGATATCAGCCGAGTGCTGTCTCATATTCCACTCTAACTGTCGGAAGGTTAAAAACGGTAATAGATACGAGGTGGATCCAACTAGAACCATCCAATACTGTCGGTTATCAGTAAAACATTAAACATCTAACCTAAAACCTTATTCGCCACTGTAGTACTGATTGACTCAGGTCAGAATATAGGATTTACCTGCACGTATGCATCACATCTTACATGCACACTAACCAACAACATTGCAATATTTCAGATTTATTATTCAATGTGTGCCCTCTCGCGGATTAAATTTCATAGTTTTCCCTATTTAAAATGCTTTTTATTTTAATAAGTTGCATAAAAAATTTTGAAATTTAGTTTTTAACGTAATGTAATATGAACGCAATTGACTTGAAATCCTCGAGCCAAGCGTGAACAACTTCAGCTTTAATTGGGACTTTGTTGTACTTTATTCGAATGATTTCGGTATATATTTAAAACTCCAATGATATTTTGGTGTTTGTCAGTGCTAATGGTTCTGCATGTGTCTGTCAAGCCTGGCAAAAGAAATAGTCATAAATGACGATTTAGAGTGGTTAAGCGCGTTCTCAAAAAATCAACCTGGAAGTTCAACCAAAAAACATGTAAATTTAAAAGTGTTGTTTCCTCATTACCAGTTACTATCGACTCTTGTAAGAGTTAGACTTGCGACTCCTTGATTTTAAGCCATTTTTTGCTATGTGATGTGGTGTTTAGATAATATTTATATTAACACAATAGATTACAAAACTCCTGCTGAATGTTTATTTACAACATTCGTAAATACGAAAGAGTGTCTTACAAACTGCAGGAGAATGTTCCCTATCTTTTTAAGTGCATACGCTTAATCTTCTATTTCAGAAACAGATATCTCCTCCTTCTTGTGAAACTAAACGATTGGAACGTTCGTTTATAAGGGGTGTTTTTTTTCGATGTATAGAACTTTAAGTTGCAATAAAACAACGATTACATTACATTTTAAATATGATTTCTGGCATATGACCGTCACGGCTGGCGCGGATGTAGTCCAATCTGGACTTCGAATTTTCGATGACTTTTTCCAACATTTGTGGCCTTATATCGGCAATAACACGGCGAATGTAGTCTTTCAAATGACTTTACATAGCCCCATAGAAAGTAGTCTAGCGGTATTAAATCACAAGATCCTGGAGGCCAATTCACAGGTCCAAAACGTGAAATTAGGCGGTCACCAAACGTGTCTTGCAATAAATCGATTGTGGCACGAGCTGTGTGACATATTGCGCCGTATTGTTGAAATCACATCTCTTGGACATCATGGTTATTCAATTCAGAAATGAAAGAGTTAGTAATCATAGCTCTATACCGATCACCATTGACTGTAACCTTCTGTAATCATCGTTTTTGAAGAAGTACGGACCAATGATTCCACCAGCCCATAAAGCGCACCAAACAGTCAGTTTTTCTGGATGTAACGGTGTTTCGACATACACTCGAGGATTAGCTTCGCTCCAAATGCGGCAGTTTTATTTGTTGACATAGCCATTCAACCAGAAGTGCGCATTTGCAAGCGTTGTTCAGTCGTGAGTCTATTCATGATGAATTGCCAATCCAAATTGAGAATAAATCACTTGACAGCTGTTGAATCGGTCGCCATCTTGAACAGTAATGCCAACTTAAAGTTCTATACATCGAAAAAAAAACACATATATAACATAAATTTCTAAGCGTTTTCTCTTTCAGACTTACCGGTAAAAATATAGTATATAGTTAAGAGTGTATCTTAATATATGTCATTTTTCATGGTTTTTAAGGGCCACCGTGTTATATGAACCGTAAATAGTTGGTATTAGGTCGTTTTGCTATGCTTAAGTTACCTCTTCATGGAGTTAATTTACATCTTTTCTAAGTGGTTTTTGCTAAATATGATTTGTAAGTTGAATTTCAATGTTATGTTCTTGTTTTAATTTGTATGGCAAATAAACATCATTTTCTTCACGTCAATAATTGAATGTGTCGGTCGTAGAAAAAGTATAACACAACACGTTGATAAACTCCTTGTCACTCGTCTATTAAGCACTGGCTCAGCTGATGCCTGTAATAAAAACTATGGTTTTTAAAAAAGATGTTGCAACAATGTACTATAAAATAACCATGTCTCTTAAATATTTGTATTACCTTTTTACTTACATTGTCTGCGCCGAAATCAGCTACGTCAAATTTCATATCACAAACAAAATAACTTAAGTAGCCAGCTAAAATAATGATCTACAATATCTTAGGAGAAATTGATTTTTATCATTTGTTATTGTGTAACCGATCAAATAGAAAGTGCCGCACTAGCCAAATAAAATGAAATAAAATGAATGAAATTTTAATAAATAGCTTATTATTGGTATTAAATTTACTGAACACGAATAACTAACGTTCTTGCGTCGTACTATTGTGGTAAATATTTTTCTTGTATCTCCTCCAAATGTTCGTTACTCTATTTATATAATAAAATCACAGGTTATTTACTTTGGTTCATTGGATTCGATTTTAAAAAAGTTACCATTGCTTATTAAAAGGCGAGGTTTTTTTCTTAGATCGGCCGGAAATTTGTATTCCTTTATCCCAATTCTAAAAATTCTGATCCCATTGATTACGCCACTTGCCTCTCTCTTGCTTTCTTCTTCGTATTAAGGTTTTCCGTTTCTTCTTCGTTCATGTCCTCGAGAGTGACGCTGTCGGAGTTTTCGGTGTAAATGACAATCATCGTTATGGAAGCCACAATCGCTAAATAAGGTCAATAAGTTTTTCGGAGTAGTAGAATATGACAATGTCAGATTTCTAATTTTAAAATGCTCCTTTCGAACGTACTACGAACAAATGATTGAACTCGCGAATTGACTTAATTGAAAGCGTTTCAATTTTCTTAAAGAAAAAGTGAAATTTAACTAATGGAAAAATTTCAATAAGCAAGGCATGATGATATATTGTTAAAAAATTATTGTGGAAGGTTTTTTTAGTACAACTAATAATAATTGTAATTTATTTTCTTTATTTATTTTAATATCGAAATTGTAACAGTAGTTTCATTCAGTCTAGAATTTAACCGAAAGAGGATTTATTTTCAATTTTAAATTCTTAACTTTGCCATGCCAATAAATCTAAACATGGATTTCTTTCTGTTAACTGGCGGGTCCGCCTAAAATTTAAAAAATAATTTTAAACGTTAAAATTTAAATTTATTTTTTATACACTGAGTACTGAGCTATCACTACTCAAAGCATATTTCGATCTTTGATTGTTTGTCATAAAAAAAACAATTCAGTAGCATTTTTTCTTTATTAATGTAGTTGTGCGTTGCAGAGGCAACATTTATATTTATAAGCTTTTAGCTTTTTAGGTTAGAGCTAAATTAAGCGGGCTTTTTCGGTATTACCTCGTATTTAAACATAAAGTTGTTATTCCAACAATCCGGTGAATCAGAACGTCTGCCATCATCATCATCATCTGATCTTTCTGATTTTTTTCAGCAGGAACAATTGATTATATATTTTGGTGACTTAACTTAACTCCCCAGTTTCGTCCAATATCCACTATAAGCTCACAATGATTCGTTAGAGATATTTAGAGATCGTTGAACTTCCATATTGTAAGTACTTCCACTCTTGGATTGCTAAAGATGTTTTTAGAATACAGCTTTCATTTGATGTGGTGTTGTTTGGTCCATACATGTTCCGCGATTCTTGACCTTTGGATTTTACCCCTCATTGTTTGTTTCCTATGTCCTTCAACTCTAACGTTGATAGGTATTTTGTTTCTCCAATATACGACTCTCCACATTCAAGGCTTTATTCTTGTATGCTCCTTAATGTCTTTTCTGACCTAAATACAGTCTTAACAATGAATTGTAGGTTTCCTATATACAGAGGTGCTGATAGAGTCGTTATTTCTTCTTACTACGACATGGACGATGGAGAGCCGTTATTCTCTTTCTCAACGGTATATTTAATGGGCGGTCGCAAAGAATTTAGACGATTGAGAAAGGAATCCAGCCGTCAATCAATCAATGAAGATATCGTCAACAACATATCAATCAACATACCATTCTGATGCAGCCAAACTAGGAACCATCCAAACATTCAGCAAAAGAGCAATCACAATATGTAGTGACGAAGCATCACCAAATGTAGAATTAAACAGTATTAAAAAGGATTTGCTTCATAATTGCTACACTCAAAAATTTATTTATAAAATATTATCAACTTGTAAACGGAAAGCGGAACGATGTGAGGTAAAAACATTGTCTTTCTTGATGATCCTCTAGGTGATGGGAATCACAGAAAAGATTAGTCCAATTCAAAGTTAAGACTGTATGCAGGTTCGACACGAAACTAAGGAGAGGAACAACAAAGCCATGAATTTGGAGGGTCATGTATTTTAGAAAAAAAAAGACCTTTCAACATTAGAATTGAAGAACATAGGAAATACAATGAGGGATGAAATCCAAAGGTCAGGAATCTCGGAACCTGTATGGCCCAAACAATACCACATCAAATTATCCAAGCTCGGGTTGTCGACAGGAAACAGTAGTAGAAAAAGCCCAAGTTTTAGAAGATTGTATTCTAAAACCAATGTTGGCGTCGTAGCGGAACAACCTCACGCTTGGCTGCACCGACTCCGTTACGGTTGAACGCTTTAGTCTAATTTATAAGCCTCACAGCCTTAGAATTAAAATCAATTATTCTGAACTTGATAACCGCCCTTTGCAAATATTTTATCTATAAATTCATGGATCACTAATGGGTCACATAGCAATATGAATTGTCACGGCGATGAGTGCTCTCAGATAAACATGCGCAATTTGGTGCGATGATATTTGAGTTTTTTACAAGGTTGTGGTTATCTTTGAACAATGTACAGACTGCGGGGCACTCTCAATATTATACTTGTATCAAGCTTAGCGATCTCACGAAATCCATTATTTTATGTTTAACACTTCCAGATATATGTAAAAAATAGATCTCAGATAACGATCTCATTTTTTGCTTACAATATCGAAAAAAGAAGCTATTACACAGGCTATTGTTTTATAATTTTGTAAATCATAAAAATATTACTAGTCCAACAAAAATTAAAAAAGGGTGTATAACGTACAGGTTCAAGGTAAGAAGACTATGAAGAGGGTTCTGGAAATCTTGCTGCTATTGGCTGCTTATTGCAAGCCTCGACGACAAATTATTTCGGAAATATTGCATTCTCCTGTGGCAACTACACCGAAGTGCCGAAGTTTTGAAATAATTTTTCACAATTTAATGATATCGCGGTATATCAGATTACCATTTGAGAGGTTTCCCTTATTAATAAACTGTTAGTTAATAGATGAAAACTCGTTACGCACGTTTGCTATTCACACACAGAAATAAATTTTATCATTTGTTAGCGCTGCCATAAGCAAAACAATACTCTTTTGTCTGTGTTAAGTACTTTACGTATTTCACTGCTTTATAGAGTTAAAGAAAGGTATTTAGAGCAGGTGCACTGCGTTTGTTTGTGTTATGGTATTATGCAACTATGAACATGCCTGTTTAGTAAAACTGAGGAATGTCTTTTTGAAAATTGAACTCAGGTGGCGTTTACTTGATGAAAATCCATTTATCAAAATAAATAAGAACTAAAAGTTCAGATTTTCACGAAATTATATATTATGACGACTTGTTTCACTTCAATAATTGCCCAACGCCTACATTCATTTATGTGAATTTTTCTCATTTTTCCTTATCGCAGGTAACTTCAGAAAGTACCAAAATTAATTAAAATAAAAATCATTTGGAAAGACCTTAAGAAGTATGGCATCTACAAAATGATTAAAACAATTATTATTAAATAAAATTTAAATAAATTAAGAGGAGATCACTGACAGAGAAACTGAAAAAAAAAAACGTTTTGCATAATTTCGGATATCTCGAGAAACACTTTTCTGCCTGTTGTTGTTGGAATGAAATTGCCTTGATGTCCTTTCTTTTCTAGAGCGTATAAATGATATAAATGATATACAAATGAATCAAAATAACTTCTTAAAAATTTGTTGAAAACTTTTGACATTGTTGTAAATATTTTGGTAATCGAAATTATCGAATAACACGACTAATAATGCGTTAAGATATTAAAGCAAGTCGAAGGTTCTTTCTCTAATTACATTTCTAAAAGATACTTCAGAGCACAAAAAATGATTTAAAGAATGAGGTGCAAAAAAGTTTTAATTTATAAGTAATTTTGTTATATTTAACGTTATTTTTCTTTCACTTCTAATGAAGTCAATAGCCATTTGTTGCAGCGGCTTCTTGATGTACTTCGCTTTTTTCAACAAACGTCACCTAGGCTCTCATCCAGAACCAGCTTGAAAGCCGCAATGATCCTTTCGTTTAACTGGGTTTTGTATTTCCCCTGTACTGTTAAATTCTTGAAAGTATTCTCATCCAAATCTTCCACATTCATCGCATCGGATTTGTCTACCAAAATGATCGGTAAAATCATACCAACACAAATAATACCGTACAATGAGTATTTATGCCACTGTTTTACTAGAGACGAGTAGGGAAATACGATGTCCGGGTTGCTTCCCAATTGACGCAAGTATCCCGAGAGGGATCTGTAGTAAATACCCAAAAGTTCTTCTAAATTTGCTGAACCGGTTGGGCCGATTATGGCACAAATGTGGTAGGCAAGGTCAAGGACGGGGCTGCCCAATTTGGACATTTGAAAATCCAACATCGCAACTTTCTCTGGGGACGATTTGATATCGTCTGCGTGCTGCAAAAGAAAAGAGTTTTGCAGAAACATTGAAATGCGGAACATATTCAAGAAGGTGCATCGTGTTTTGTTGTGTGTTGTTTCACTTTATCAAAGTATTGCGAAACATGGTAATACCCCTCACAGCATAAAGTATATGGTTAATGTATCGCATGCGTTTCGTTAAGATCTCACTGGCATTTTCAACTTTAATGGACTTAAATTGATTTCGAAATGAAAATGTCAGGTTATTTCGATCGGAATTCTACAAGCGAACGGAGGATATTCCGTGATATAACTTGCGCGCGCGGGTGTGTGTGTGTGTGTGTGTGTGTGTGTGTGTGAAGTATTGTCCATGACGTTGTATTTAAACATAAAATTATTGTTCCAACAATCTCCGTGAGTTATCACGTTTCGTTCTTCGTACGCGCTGTTTAAATTTTTCCAGGTTTGCACGAAGTCCCCAGTAAATCGTGCTTTGAATTTTCTGAACATTTCCCGCTCGTTACTTTCTTCCAGGATTTCATAAAGATGTTTCTCCACCTGCTTTAACATTGGCGGGAAAGTCTCCGAAGCAGTGAAGGCCGACGATACGCATTCCATTTCTGACAACTTTTTAAATATCTCAGGGTGTTCTTCGCGCATAGCGAAAGAAATCGCATTATATTTTCCATACGTTTCTAGGATTAATTTCAGATGATCCATGTTAAATGGTGTGAACCGATCGTGCAGTTCGTAACCAATTTTTTTCAAATTCTGAAGGAATATAATTTCCATTTCTTCTTTTAACAGGGTTCCGAAACATTCGGCTACAAACTCGAACGGGTCAATGTTCTTTTCTTTCACGAATCGCTGGTAACTGGGAAACACTTTACTGTACATGTGAACCTTCCTTTCAAACGCCATACGTACGGGAAATCTGTTGCGCAGCTCTTTGATTGGTTTTCCGGTTTTTATGACCATGTCGTAAAGGTTTTATTTTCCATCTTTCTTTCTCGAGGTTACGTGAACAAACGTTACGTCACCTAGATAACCATCCCCCTTGTCCGTTGTACCTTCGAGAAATATTTCGGATTCTATCACCCCTTGTTTTTGAAGTACTTCCAGCACCGAGTCTCTGATGGAGAAATCATTTTCCTCTAGCGTACTCATTCTCGCAGAGGATTGCATACGACTGTAGGCGAAATAATTTCAAATTGTTATCTATATACTAGAGCGACCTTCATCATTTTATCTAATTTATCAATACTGATTTGTATAAGCTACATGAATTTCCAAAGTAATTTGGTAAAGCGTTTATTTATTTAATTTACATCGTTCTCTCCTCGCAATCATTTTATTCTCATCGAAAACGTCATCTAATAGTAAAGCCCGCTTCCCGGTACTGATTCAAAAAAGCTATGATCGTAAAGCAAAAGAAAATCTTAGAAGCTCATTTGAAAATAATTTCTGCAAAATATATTTTTATTAAATCTGAGCCCAATAGTGACAGTATTATAATTTTTTTAGGCTTGCTGAAAATGGTCATACAATTGCGTTCCCGTTTCCAAAATTTTTCAAAAAATAATCGATTTTTTAATTTGGCTGATGTTTTTCTTAATGTCCCTTAATTTTTCCAACAATACAGTTTGAAACTATCGTCATAATTTATAGTAAATCTTAATAATTGTCTAGAAAATTAGAGGCGAAGTGTAGGGTACAATAAAATTGAAAAATTATAATAATAGTATATTATGCAACAAGTGCGATAAACGGCTTTTGACTCACGAGTTTACTTGACACAAGTTAAAAAGTTTACCAACCGTGTTGCTTACTATACTTTTTCTACGGCCGTTAGTTTTTGGGTACATTTTCGCAAAACAACACGAATACATTCACTGACATGACCGTCAGAATTGACAAACGTCAAAATTCAAAGCGTTGGTAATATCTCCGAAAACATCCGATTGCTCTCAAATCCGTGCGGTAAAATCCCGGAACTGTCCGAAGTGGCTCGGATTCATGGGAAACGAAACTGACGTAGTACAGTGACGCTTCCCGCACTCTAGATCGGTGTGTAATTTGGTATTTTTCCGACGGGAGTAGAAAAACACATTTTTTCTATTCCCGTCTGTAAAATACCTAATTACACATCGATCTAGAGTGCGGGAAGCGTCACTTTACCACGTCAGTTTTTTACCGCGGATTTGGGAGCAATCGGATGTTTTCGGATATATTTCCCGTCGGAATTGACGAATGTCATGGTCATGTCAGTGAATGTATTTGTGATGTTTTGCGAAAATGTACTCAAAAACTAACGGTCGTTGAAAAAGTATAGTATACAACACGTTCGGTAAACTTTTTAAGTCACTCGCTGCGCTGCGCTCGTGTCAAATAAACTTAAATAAAATGCCGTTTACTGCACTTGTTGCATAATATACTATTTTGCCGCCAGATATGATTACAATAGTTTGCTTTTTTAGTAGGCTGTGAAATTTAACAAATCAGAAAATGTTATTTGATGCTTGTCAAAATCTCTGAATTATCATATTCTGTTTTCTCAGTGTCATCAAAACACATGTGTGGCTGAGCGAGTCTACGCAGCAAATTTTGTCAGTAGAAGACATTTTAATAGGATGGTATTTAGTGATTTAAGTAAATTTTATTGCGAAACAGGACGAGTTCATCTTAATTCAGTCATTCTTAAGTATGAAGAAAAACTTCTTAATATTCTTGCCTATGTCCACATTAATCCCTATTTAAGCTTGAGAACATTCAGTTTCGACTAAGTAAGGTAAAAAGTTTGGATATTAGTAAAACATCGGTACATCAAATTCTGAATGACCACTATCTATACCATTATCATATCGAATTACATGAGGCTCTTTTAGATTTTGATAGGAGACACTGTAATTGACTAAATTCTAGGATGCACAATATTCATTATTTGTGAATCCTCACTGGATGTACGAAGTGAATTATCATTATCATTATACGACCATTTTTCTTTAATGGTAAAGTTAATGGTCAAATTTATTAGAACTTATTAGGAAACCACTTGCCGATTTTACTAGAAAACGTCCCTTTACAAAAGAGAAGAGATATGTGGCTCCAATAGAATGGTTTCTAGCGCATTTTTCTTACGAAGTTAGTCTTTTGACCAGACTTATCCAAACCGTTAAATGGGAAGGTTCAGTTTGATCCCGTCACTTGGCAGATGTCCAGACCTGGCTGTCATGGATTTTTACCTTTGTGGTAGAATAAAAGATATTGTTTATGAAACTCGCCCTACAACTCGGTGAAATATCGTATCCGAAATGCTGTAGCGAACCTGAAATTACTACAGCCGTATTAAATACACCACGATTTTCTTTTTAATTAATTTTGTTATGCTTTATCCTTATCAATGTTTAGTTTCCATAATTTTTGGAGTTTTGGCCATTTAATTCCGGAAATGTTGGAGCACCCGCATTACTTTCGTTTTAGAGTAAAAAGCATCTAAAGAAAAAGACATTTTATCATCTTGAAAACACTATTCACAATAATTATTATATATTAATAAAAGAAAATTTTGCAGAAAACGGATTTTAAAATACAAGATGGCAATTACGCCTTCTGGTGGCCAACCTTAAAAATTTCCAGGTTAAAAGCGATAATAGTTACAGGATGAATAAAACTGGAGCGGTCCAATGAGAACCATGTTCACGTAGAAGTCAGTGCGTCATGGACCATGTCAAACAAGATAATAAATACAACAGGTTACCCCAAGAACCCAATACCAAAGGGCACGATTTCATTCATCACGGAGCGTTTAAATAAACCTTGATTTGTGCGAGCCGTAGTACTTGTACCACGCGGTCTTTACCAGGATGCACGTCTATAATTTTGCCTAATGGCCATTTGGAAAGAGTAGTATTATCAATTTTAATGAGTGCCAAAGTTCCAGTTGTAATCTTCGAAGAAGGGGCAACCCACTTCTCACGCTCTTGGCGCTGTAGCATTTGCCATTTGCTAAGTTGATTAACTTTAACAAGTCCGGATTGGGTAGAGAAGATATCAGTTCTAATGTAAGGAAATGGAGTCCAAAAAATTATTAGGATCAGTACTGAGTGAACACACATGCCTTGATTTTAAAAGTGGCTCAATCTGATCTAAAACAGTATAAAACTCCTAAAAAGATTCAGCTTAGCTTGGGCTGAACTAGAGAAGTGCGGAGCCAGATGCGGATAAAAATGCCATGCTAATCCCTCCCTCGTCTCGTCTCTACGGACTCCCAAAGATCCACAAACCAGGATTACCCCTTGGACCTATTGTCAGCACCATTGGTTCTCTAACATATTCTCTAGCAAAACATCCAGCTTCCTTTCACTTCATTGAACAATTAAAAACACATTAGATACACAAGATATTCTAGTTAGTTTCGACGTTGAATCCCTCTTAACCAAAGTTCCTATTCCTGAAACTCTCAACATCATTTCAGATATATTAAAATCTGGAACCAAACCTTCTCACCTTAATCGGAAAATGCTTGTCTGGAACATATTTTTCTAATAACAGTCAAATTTTTCAGCAAACATCGGGAAGAGATATGGGTTCTCCACTATCACCACTCATCGCAAATATTTTTACGGAAGCCTTTGAGAAGAAAGCTCTTGACAGCTTTGATCTAAAACCAAAATTATGGAAACGCTACGTCGATTATACTTCAGCAAGTTCGACTCAGCAAAAACCGACGGAGGAGGAATCCAGAAATTTTGTAAAAAGTATTAGAGTAGCTTGTGGAAGTTTCTTTGAAAAAAAATGAAGAAATAACTGATTGCTTTAAATGCAACAAAGAATGGTGTTTAGCGTGATAATAACGACAAGTCCAGCAGAATTGCAGTTTTTAATTATGTCGCTATTGCTAAGGAGTTTAAGCAAAAAATAACAAAATAAGAATAAATTTTGGCTTCTTAAGGAAATTTGGAGCAAATTTTGAGTATTGCAACCGGTACTATCATTTTCAAGCTCAAACCTACTGATGTTATTCTGATCTAACTATTCAAAAATTAGAAAAAATCCCATTCTGTTACCGGAAAACCCAAGTTTTTCAAAGCTGCAGAACTTTCGTTAAAAATCTTGCGCAAACCCTTAACGATTTTTGTGTTGTTTACAATTTACAAAATGAGTGAAATCGATAAGTCTCTTGTGATCATACCCTGAAACTAACACTATAAGTTTTAGCGGCCATCATTCCCATGAGAGTAAATACTTAAATTTTCGATGTCGGCAAGATGGATATTTTCATGTACAGATATTTTATATCGTCGTTAAATTTTGGAATTCCTGTAGGTTTTGCGATTTGAAAGACGAAACGGATTTATTTGGCCAACGGATGTTGGTTTTGTCCCCGTAAAGCGAAAAAGAAATAGCCTAAACCAGAGCACTAGGGTCGTGGAATTGACCGTTTTAATTTTTTTGTGTCAATTCACGGTCATTTGAGTGGTCAATTGATCGAAAAAATTTTATAAATACCATAAAATTTATATTTATTTTTTTATGTTGTTCGTTACGTCGCCGTCTGGTCATTCTGGGAATCGTAAGTATCGTATTCGGATATTCCTTGAAGAGGGTTATAGGTAAATTGGAGATCACAAACGCATAATAATTTATTATAAAATACATATTATTATTAAATAATCATAGATAATACTATACAAATGCAAGATGTTATTTAAAACATTTTTTGACTAGTCAATTGACTACAGTCCCAACACTACTAAGCTCTATAATAAATAATTTTTTAGGTTAATCAGCGTCGATCTGAGGGTCATCCTCAGTAACTACTAGTGCTAACACGTGGTTTTTTTCTAAATTCTGATTTGATATCGGTCATTTCGGAATACATAATTTGAAATTGTAGAGCAGCCTTGCTATCACTAGTGGCTTTATCTGCGAAGCACTTTAACTCAGCCATCTGAATAAAACTCATTTGGACTAGCCTTATACTTCTTTATTTTATTAATGGGCGGCATTTTTTAAATTAAATAACGTTCACAGAATCAAGGCAACCAAAAAACTAACCAAAAATAATTGAATACCGCTATGCGTTTCCCTTTTTTTTTAGAACGGAATGCATGTAAATTTATACACCAAAACGGCAGAAGACTATTTTAACTTATGACCTTAAATATAATTGGAATAAACTAGTTAATAAATTACTTATCAGGATATGATCGAGATAGGTGTTAGTACCATGCCATCCAGTTCCATCAATTTTTTCCTCAAAGTGAGAAACAATTGGCGCTTCACCCGTTTCACCTGCTGAAGACCATCAAGGTAGGCGATTCGAAGGAAGCGTTATCTCCCTCCCTGAATTTTTGTATTACTGCGTTTTCATTTTTTTTTGCTTTGCTGGGCTATCGAAGGAAGTTATATTATTAGCGAAAATAAAAAAATTAAAAAACCCGAAAACCAAAAGCCACAAACCGATCGATCGATAGGTGCTTGCTTGTAAATTCAAGTATTTTGTAGCGAAATGCACATTAAACAAAAACAATGTTCAAAATGTTTTTTTTAATAGTTTTATGACTAATTAAAATTGTGTTTTATGGTATATGATGACAAATTATATTTAGTTTATAATAATACCATAACCGTGTTTTTTTATTTATTTCAACAGTTGGCATCACTAAATTGATGCAAACATTCGAAGACATTTGAAACAACTTCTGCTTCATAAATAAATGTATAAACAACTTTGTTAATTTGTTTGACGAGTGTTTAATATCAAAGTGGTAAATTACATTGGTCAAATTTGTTCGTGAATCAACTTAATAAATTATTTATAATTAATTAATTAATAATAAATAAACTAATATTTCACACAGTAAGGAAATAAAAAATAAAATCCACTCTCAAACTTCTGCAATTATTATTTTTTATATATATTAATTTAAAATGTTCAAAAAGTTGAAATACAGTCATCACTCGGCACACCTCAAAATTCAAATTCAAGCCCGCATCTGATCGCATTGATAATCCTACTTTCTGCCTGTCTCTTGCTTTCCCCTTGCAGTTTCGTCTTCAAATTTTTAGTCCGTTCTTCGTTCATGTCTTCAATAGCGAGGATATCCGAGTTTTCGGTGTACATAACAGGCATCGATATGGAAGCCATAATCACTCCAAAAGGCCAATATTTTTTCCAATGGTCCATTAGAGTTGAACGAGGAAATATTGTTGATGGGTCGCTTCCTAGTTTTCTTAAATTTTCCGACAGGGATTCGTAGTATATGTTGATAATGGATTTCATATTATGAAATGCTTCTTCCGAACAAACTGTGAATAAATGATAAGAGAGGTCCATCATGGGGCTCGTCAATTGAGTTAATTGAAAATCTATCAACTTCACATGTGTTGGATTTGTCTTTTCTTCATTCTAAAAGAGATACTGGAACTTAATGGGAATTCTTTTATTAATCAATGATGTATGACATTAAACAATGCATGTTGTGTTACACAAACGGGTCCAAGCGGTATTTCTTTGAAATTATATGCATATTTGCACATAAGCAAATCTTCAACATGTCCTTAATTTTTGCGACTATATTTTTGCAACTAGATTTGCAAGCAAATGTGAACTGCATGAAATGTTACTTGCGAGTTTTGCAAATTTTTGGCACCAATTTATATTTAAGAGCATCCCCGTTTGCGATAAATGAATCAGAAAACCAAATAATGCAAATCATTTCCGAACGAGAGCCCTTTAAATATTTTACAGTTTTAATCTGAAAACGTATTCGACCATTATTGGCAGTTTTACTTATTATACTTTATTTAATTATTGTTAATTATTTTATTTCAATTATTGTAATATAATTAACTTATATTTTTTCATTAGAAAGTCGAATTAACCATTTTTCAAAAATTATTTTCAGTACTGGACTGCTTCAAAGATGGACGATATCAATCCAATACGCTGAATTTACCTTTTCGGTGACTGGCGCATTCGCCGAAACTTTGACTTTTGTTTAAAATAAATGAATTTCATATATTTAAATTTTTAACAAAGGTACGGGTTTTAGATAACATTCTTTTCTACACTGAACGCAGTAATTAATATCTATTAACCAAAGTAAATAACTGGGTCATCTCCAATTTAAACCTTACTAAGTTGATGGTTAATTTGAATTGCTTGATGTTAAGGTTCAATTTTAATTTCAAGCATTATAGTGAGGTCGGAATTTAAAAAAAAGAATATAGGTTAAAAGACTGCTCAAGCGGTTTTTATATTTATAAACTTTCCAAAGTTCATGTAAAACATAAAGTAAGTAAATTTTGGCATTATTACCTGGTATTTAAACATAAAGTTGTTAGCCCAGCAGTCCCCGTGAAGCAGAACACGCGGCTTTACTTCCTGGGCAACGACTTCATGCCAGGTCTCATAAATTTTCTCATGAAATTTCTCTTTGAATTTTCTCAGTAAGCCCAATTCATTATTGTCTGTTAGTGTTCGGGTGACGTCTTCTTCAGCTTGATCTAAAAAGCCTTTAAACGCATCCGTCGCGCCTACGATCGGCCATAAACTTTGAACGTTGGATAGCTCTTCGAACAGTTTCGGATCTTGTTCTGCCAATGCCAAAGAAATTGCGTGCCACTTTCCGTATGCCTCCATGGTAAGTTGGACATGAGGGATATCGAATGGAAATGTTCTACCACGGATATCATAGTTAAGTGTTTTCAAGTTCTTAAGCGCTAGCACTTCGCTGTCATCTGAGATAAACGTTCCGTAACACTCTGGTAGTATATCGAGTGGTTGTAAGTTCTTCTCCTTCAAAAACTGCTGGAACGCAGGAAATACGTTTCTGTACATGTGAATTTCCCGTTCGAATGCCAACCGTACTGGGAATTTTTTCCTTAAGTCTTCGCTTTTTTTGCCGAACTTAAGAACGACATGATATGTCTGCGCTTTACCATTTTTCGGCGTCACTTGTGCGAATACTATATCTCCCAGATAGCCGTCACCTTTTTCCGTCGTACCGCTACAAATCACCTCGAAGTCTCCTATATCGTCATTTACAAATATTTTATCGATAAATTCGCGTACCACTAATGCGTTATCCACAGCGACACTCATCTTAACTTATACTGTAACCAGTCACGTCGACGAGATCTCTTATATTAAGATGCGTAATTTGTTATGATGATAATTCGTGTTTTATAAAGCTGTAGTTCAGTATGAACAATATACACGGAGGTGCCTAAACATATTGAAACTAATTTTCCTACTTAAAGGTATCAGAAACATAATCCGACATTTTTAAATTTTAAATCATTTCGAAATATTATAAATTTGAATAACATAAATAAAGTGTTTTCATGAAATAACGAAAATTGCTAAATGTATATTTGTGCATATAAAAAAAATCGTCGGAAAAATTGAAAAAAAAACCTCTACCAACAAACGAAAAATATTTTAAAAATATAAATATTAATGTAAAAACCTGTTTACTTAAAATTTTTAAATAATACTACTGGAAAAATACAAAATGCAGCTTGAGATTTCCCGAGTAATAAATTTTCTTCTTTTTTCAGACGGTTCTAAGAAGTTGAAATACTATAAAGAAAATGAAATAATATCTGGATAAATTTGAGATATTTTCACGAAAAACTAACAATAATAACTGTTGGTTAATAATCATAACAGGTGTTTATTTCTCAAAAGTAAACCCTTCTCCGCATATGAAGTATTTGACATGTTTCTCTTCTTTTTTAATCTCCAGAAAGGACTTTCCAAAATTTGGGATATCTCCAGAAACACTCGTTTCTGTTTCTTAACAGCATATTGTTGATATTAAACTCCACGGTTGCCTTGTAAATTTATGTCCTTTCTTATCTTATGAGTTAGAACGAAAAAAAAATGATCCGTACAAATATTTTTAAAACTTTCGACGAAGCAATGTAATTGCCAAATCAAGGACGTATGTTGGGTATTAAACAAGCTAGATTAGATATAGCAAATCTTATTTGCATTCGTTCATCTCCGTTAATATCCGAATAAACATTTAACATTAAATAACTTCATAGACAATTTTTATTGAAATGCTCGAAAAGCTTTTTAAATAAGGCACGCAATGACAAGTAGAACTGAAGAATAAGTTGAAGAGTGATACCGATACATTAATAATAATATGCGAAAACGGTATGCAGTATAAAACAACTTATAAGTCATATTTAATTATAGAAAATATTGAAACAATCAATTTGTAAAATTGGACAGAGTCGATATTTAAGTTATTGTTTTTTTAAAAATTTATTTTGTAAATATTTATTGGTTGGTTGGTTTCGTTTTGCAAACAGCTGTGGGTATATGTGTTGAATTGAATTGAAATGTTATAAAAACATAGATATTATACGAAAAAAGAAAAGACAAATCTTAGAGTAGAAAAATTATTATATTGTTTTGCAAAATCACAAAATATAAAATATTTTCGATAATTACATATTGGAACTAGGTTGAATTAAAAAAAAACTCGTACTGTCAAACACTCAACGCAATTTGATTAGAGGAGAGAGAATTACATTATCACTAATTTTGTATAGACGACTGAACAAAAGACTAACGAAACTCTAAAGTGCTCGTAGTTACATTTCTTCCCTGCTCTGTTAATTAATTAGTCGTTTGATGTTTTTGTTTGTTAGTTTAACTTGTTTCTTCAAAAATCAATATACTTTTACCTCTTAAAAAAATATAATCTCAGTCGTAATTCAATTATAGAGAAACACAACTTGGTTAGAGAGAATTAAATTATAAATAATTTTGTTATATTCATGGTTAAGCTTTTTCACTTCTGTCTTAATTAACTTGTTGTTCGCTGCTTTTTATTTTCAGTTTTACTTTAAAAATCAGCAGCTAATGAATTCCTCTTTACTGGCTTCCCGTGATACTTATTCATTTTTCTCAGCAAGTACCACTTATATATTTTCTTCCAGAACCAACCTGAAAGCCGCAATGATCCTTTCGTTTAACTGGGTTTTATATTTCCCGTGCACCTTTTTTGTTAAATTCTTGAATGCATTCTCATCAAAATCTTCCACATTCATCACATCGGATTTGTCCAGCAAATTGATAGGCAAGACCATACCGGCAAAAAAAATGCCAATTAATGAGTATTTACGCCACTGTTCTATCAGAGATGAGTAGGGAAATACGATGTCTGGATTGCTTCCCAATTGACGCAAGTATCCCGAGAAGGATCTGTAGTAAATACCCAAAAGTTCTTCTAAATGTGAATCGTTTGGGGTGATTACGGCACAAATATGATACGCAAGGTCAAGAACGGGACTGGCCAATTTGGAAATTTGAAAATCCAGCATCACAACTTTCTCCGGGGCCAATTTGGTAACGTCTGCTGGCTGGAAAAGAAAATAGTTTGGCATCAAAAACAATAATGGCTCGTTGCGAAACGTTGGAATGTCGAACTTTTTCAGTAAGGCGAAAGAGAATAGAACGAAATAGTAATCGTGGATATAATGACAGAAAATTATAAACAATTCCGAAATAAATGTCGCTAGGGATCTACTGCAGACTTCACATAATGCTTATTTCCTCAAAAAACGAAATCTTGTTCACATTTTAAAAATAAAATTTGGGTCCAACATTTGGTTTGGATTGACCAAAATTGCGCAATATGTGCTCATTATTTTGATATTGTTTGCAATGACATCGAATATATATAAGGGACCACTTGACGGAGCGCTAAACGTCTTGGGTATTAATGTCGTTTTAAGTTAAAGCGTAACAAGAAGAGCAGCATTTTTAAGGTGCAACACATGGAATATTTCTCATAATTTTGTTAACTTAAGGGAATTCGGAACTTAATAATTCATGAAATACATATTTTCTATAAATAATTTATTACCAAACAAAGAGACAAGAGGGGTTTTTGGAAGCTATAGGTACATATGAAACCTAAATGGAATCCTCTCATTAAATTGCAAATATGTTGTTGAAATAACTATGTTAAAGAATTCGCAAAACTTTTTAATAGTTTATATATAGTACCCCTAGCGAATAAGTTGGTAGTAAATAAAGGTATATTTTACCACTCAATTAGTAGCCCTAGTTATTATCAAAAAAGAGCTATCTGTTGATGTTTGTTATATCTAAAATTTAAGATATTAACTAGTGTTAATTTGATGCGTTTTGTTTTTTTTTTGCAAAATGTATTGCTTTGAGTAATATGGGTTGGATTTTGTACATTGTGTATCTGTTGTCTAAATAACAACCATACTGGGTTTTCGTTTTTTTGGACATAATTGACTATATTTTGGCATGCAGTTGTTAGTTAAATCTTATAAAAATATGATATTGTTGCCTGCCCAAAAATGTTTCTTTTCTCGCTCCTCTTTTGTATGAGTACTTAATTTCGTTCGCTGCCACTTTCATATGCATAGCCAATTTAACCGTTTTAATTAATAATTAGTAAAGATCGTTTTTTAAAATTATTTAAATTTTAGTCGATCTATTCGATAATAAAAAGTTTTTAAGTAAAATATTTATAAATAAAGAAAAAATTAATTAAATTAATGGAATAATATAAAGTGTAGTTTATTAGTGATAATTAAACACTAAAAAAAATATACTTAAAACCATGGACAGTCTGATAAAATTTAGTGCGGTTGTCACGCCACAAATTTTTGTATTTCATTTTTATCATTTCAAAAGTACCTTCCCCGATTTAAGTGCATTATGATATTTCAAAATAAAAGCAAATGGTTAGTTTGCTGATATATTGAGATATAACTTTTGTTTCGTAAATATTGTGCAAACAATGCGACTCTGGTTATACATACGTCGTATTTAAACATGAAATTATTATTCCAACAATCTCCGTGAGTGATCACGCTTTGTTCTTCGTATGCGGTTGTCAAATTTTTCCAGGTTTGCTCGAAGTCCCCAGTGAATCGAGCTTTGAATTTTTTGAGCATTTCCATCTCGTTACTATCTTCCAGGATTTGATAAAGATGTTTTTCGACCTCCTTCAACATGGGAGGGAAGGTCTCCGAAGCAGCAAAGGCCGACCATACGCATTCCATCTCTGACAACTTCTGAAATATATCAGGTTGTTGGTCGCGCATCACGAAAGATAGCGCGTGATATTTTCCATAACTTTCTAGGGTTAGTGCCAGATGATTCATGTTAAAGGGTATGAACCGATCGTGGAGCTCGTAACCGATTTTTTTCAAATTCTGGCAAAATATTATTTCCATATCTTCGGATAACAGTGTACCGAAACATTCGGCCACAAATTGGAACGGTTCGACTTTCTTTTCTTTGACGAACCGCTGGAAACTGGGGAACACTTTGCTGTACATGTGAACTTCCCTTACGAACGCAAGACGTACGGGAAATTTCTTGCGCAACTCTTTGCTTGGTTTTCCCGCTTTCAGGACCATGTCATAGTTTTTCGACTTCCCATTTTCCTTTACAGCGGTTACATGAACAAACATTATATCGCCTAGATAACCATCCCCTTTTTCCGTTGTTCCTTCTAGAGATATCTCGCAATCTGTCACGCCGTGTTTTTGAAGTACTTCTAGTACCGAGTCTTTGATTGCCGAACCATTTTCCTCTGGCGCACTCATTCTCGCACAAGATCGCATGCGACTGCAGGCGAAATCATTTCAAATTCGTCTCTATATACCCGGGCGACCTTCACTGCCTTATCTAATGACGAACAATTTCAATTGCTGGTGGAAGTATTCCGTCATGTCGCATTAGAATGCTGATATAAATTGGTTTCAACAAACTATATGGTTTACTAAAGTAATTCTGCAACCTCTGGATGAGCTTGACCATTTAGTTTAGACCGTCTTTTCGTCGATAGTATTTTATTCCCAATTTCAAAACGAACAATATTTACAAATAAATTTGTTTTAAGCGCTGATATTTCTAAGAGGCATAGGCAAGTCCTCATAATACACAATAAACGCACATCACAATAGAGAAGAAGTACAAGAAATAAAGGATAATCCAATCTCTTGAATAATTACGGTTTTTTTCACTTCGAAAATGGTCATCAAATGACAAATCAATTCAATCAAAGTGCGAATCCAATATTCTTCCGTTTGGAGAAGAGCAAAAGAACATACTTGGATAACTTTCTGATTCAAAACACGACAACCTTTCACAGCATAATGTCAAAGTAACTAAACCACAAATTATTTCCATTATTTCATAAATTTTTGACCCCCTCGGTGTTCTGTCACCCGTACCAGCTGATTTTTACTACACATGCTCAAAATACCATTCGCAGCTGATTCACATAAATAACCTAAAATTTCCAAGGCATGGATTTTCTCATCTGAAAGGCTTATGGGGCCTGTATTTACTTACGTTGCTCAGATACACTTGGAAACGTAACTTACAAGCTTTACACCGCCAAAACACACACCATTAAAACATATCACCATTCCAGGACTGGAACTCTGTGGCGCATTGTTGTTAGCTGAACTAGCGTCAAGAGTAATTTTATCAACCAACAACAATTTTCAAGGATATCCACATCTACTTCTCTACTAAAAACGTTTGTACCCAATGGGCTATCACAAATCAAAAATTTAACTGCTCCAGATTCTTGGAAATATGTAAATTCATTTGCCACCCCGATGACCTTTGCTCCAGAGGCATCGGACCAGCAAAACTTTTAAAATCAGAACTTTGATTTCATACCCCAAAATTGTTAAATCAATAAGTAAATCATTGATGCACACAAACACCTTTTGATAAGGCAAATATTTTGCCACAACTGCTGCAAAAAAAATTAATTTCCCCGACTTGTAAACTTGTACAACGGGTATTTGCCTAAGTACATATATAAATGCACAAACAATACTGCATATACATTTTGGTTCCTTAATACTATCCGAGTTAAGTAATTTTTTAAACCACTTAATTCGACTGGTGCAGATTGAAAGTTTTCTTAATGATGACCAAATACTATTCTTGAACACTAAATGTGATAATAAATGTAAACCATTCAAACCATACCAGAAGGCTTGACTTGACTTTTCCAAAAAACACCCTTTCAAATCACCGTCTAAGCATCATTTTTCTATTCTCGTGGCAATGCTTCAAAATAATGTATTACTCAACCACCTTGAAGCAGTCGGGAAGATATTAAAGCACCCCCAATAATGAAATAACCAAATATTCGTTTTATTTAATTCGGAATCTCAAAAAAACCTAACGTTGTCCCAGATATTGAATTGAAGAGCCACTTAGGAGAGCTTCAATATGATTTGACTACTTAACCACCTTGAAGCGGTCGGGAAGCTCTTTTAGCTTCAATAAGAGAAACATTTTGACGATTGCCCTGTCGTAATCTCGTAAAGGGTAGTTCATGAACGCATAAGATTTTTCATTTCAACTCATTCTCGTCCCTTTTCTATTTCTAGTGTCGATTTTGCCGTACCTTTCCTACTTTGAGGTAGAAAGGGAAGAAATTTCATAACAACAAAGGCACACATTGCACTATTTGTTTGCTTTGCCATATGGGCAATCCATCTAGAGGTTGCTTCCTAACTTCCGAATGCTTTTTAGCAGCCCGTTATATGAAAATAGCACTACTATTGTAGGCGCAGAGAGTAAAATTCGACAATTCTTTAACGCTAATAATGAATAGATTTCTGATTAGCTCTCGAAATTAAATTTATTCCACGGCGCGGGCCCTGCTTTGGAGGTATTTTGAAGGCCGGTGTTAAATCGGTAAAATAACACCTAACAACTGCAACTGCTGATGAGTTTATTTGTCTTAGTCTTAAGGCTCTTTCATGTTCTTTGAGCCTAGTTGATATTTTTCGTCAGGTCTCTCCAATGTATTCTTTGCCGCAAATGCATGGAATGCTGTAAACTCCTGGCACCTCAAATCCGTCTTTGACGGATCGAAGATCTTGAGAGATTTTTCAATAAATGGTAAATCTGGTTTTGACGTTATATTTCAGTAGAACTTTTGATATGTGGTCAGTGATGTTTTGAATATAAGGAAGGACAACAGTGGTAAGTGTGGGATTGCTATTTGGTTTCATTGGTATTGGAAGGTTGTGGAGGACCGATACCTTAATGTATTGTCGCATCACCATCCGACCCAAAAATCATCGGTTATCACTTGTTTACAGAGCCGTAAAACTATCTCAGTCCGAGTCATTGAGCGCTCTGCTCTTCTCTCTAATAATTTCCACATTAAAGATGTTAAACGTTCCATCACAAATACACTTCACCACAACCTTCCAATAACAATGAAATTGTCCTTCCTTATATTGAAAACATTACTGACCACATATCAAAAGTTCTAAAGAAATATAACGTTAAAACCAGATTTACCACTTAAAATTCCATTTGGGATGCCAGGAGTTTTTCAGCAGTTATGCTCTGAAGAAGCGAACAGGATGATTGGTGAAACGTTAGCTAGTTCGTATCAACAAAAACCGACGCAGGAAGAATCCAGAAGTTTTAGAAAAAGTGGTACAGTAGCCCGTGGAAGTTACTTTGAAAAAATTGAATCCTTCACACTTCTGCGCACTTTCTAATTGGCGAAACAATGAATACCATTCCAGACTGCGACTTCACTAAATTAAAGGAGAACACTCTCTCGATATTTCAACGCATGCAGAAACTTTCTCAACATTTTTTGTAGAGATTATTAAAAACTTATAAAAACTGGATCCCTAGTGATCATAAAGGAAGATTGACTTTCACCATTGAAGTGAAAGCTTGGAAGAGAGTCCATTTCAAGGGCGCACATTCAATAAACGGTATCGGATTGGCAATTATTACTTATTTAGGCAAGTTCCAATTTTCAAGTTGTACCTGCTGATTTGCGAAGCGTCACTCAACCTGCATTAAGCTGGGTGATCAAGCAGATCTCAATATTTATTGCAATACAATTAGGTGATTTTGTAAAATTTCAAAACTAGGTACAAGAATTCCGATTAAATACCACTAGATTTTATGAGGTTTATCGCTTCTCTAATATTTCAAGTCAAAATTTCAAATTCTGGTGGTGAAAATGCTGAAGTCTTCCATAACAGGAAAGGTTTATCTTCTTTAAATATTCAGGTATGTTTATTTAAATTCCCTCCATATTACAACTTAAAACAGTTCCTATATTTAGGTGGTTCCTAGACCAAAATGGATAATAATGGATGTTGTGGTTTTATTACCTGGCTCAGGGGTCATTTTCGGACGAAGTTAGGATGGAAACGGGCAATATTTCGGGTTTGCTGATTGGGGACAATGAGGATGTTCGAAGGTATTTTATTCTTACACATTTTGCACAATAGAGTCATTCTCTCAGAATGTGGAAAGAATAGCAAAAAGTTAAAGGCTATTTGGGTTCACTTATACTTTTAAAATATTATATTGTTAAATGTGTTTGTATTTTCGTAAACAATTAACAACTTTCTTATTTAAATTGAATTCCTCAGAACTTTCTACGTTCGTTTCTAGACGATATTTTATAAATAATATCCTATTCCTAACTAGTACTGATTCTGATATATTTTGAAAGCCCTTGTTATATATTATTATTTGAGGTTGATTTCCCAATAGAAAAGGATCTACTTTAGGGGTCTGTGTTGATATTTTAAAATAAATGATTACAGGGTGATTCAAAAGTAACATGAAATATTTAAATTGAAAAATTTAATAATTAAAATCTAAGTTAGTAATAAAACGTTTTCGATTGTAAAAATGCTGTGACGACGAAACATGGTGAAAAAGCTGAAGGTTTGGAAATCAATGTTTGACAGTTACGTGCCTTACATATTTTCTATTGTGGTGGTCCTTTCAATACAAAAAACATGATTTCAAGAGAAGAAAATATTAGTAGTAAATAAGACAAGTTTATTGTTTACAACATTTGGAAAAAAAAAGAAAATGCGATTTTTTATAAGAATATGTATTTTTACTTATACATAATAATTTTTAAAACACATAAATTTTTAAATATTTTTATTACTCGTATAAAACAATGTTTTTGTAGGTTTTTGTCCATCTTTGATTTTCTATTTACTTCGGATTTTCTTTTCACGAGACCTAAATGCATAACGAAATTAAAAAGCTCAACCCTCAAACTGCGGCAAATCACATTGTTGAGGTTTTTACTTGTCGACAAGAATTTTGTAATCCTCCATAGCTTCTAATTTGTAAAAAAATTGTAATACAATTAATACTCAAAATTGAAATTCAAATCCGCATCTGATCGCATCGATAACCCTACTTTCTGCCTGCCTCCTGCTTTCTCCTTGCAGCTTCACCTTCAAGTTTCGAGCTTGTCCTTTGTTCATGTCTTCCATAGAGGGGATCTCCGAGTTTTCGGTACAAATGAGAGGCATTAACGTGGAAGCCATAATCACCCCAAAAGCACAATATCTGTTCCAATGGTCAATTAGAGTTGCACGAGGAAATATTTTGAAAGGGTCGCTTCCTAGTTTCCTTAAGTGTTCCGACAGGGAGTCGTAGTATATATCGATGATCGATTTTATGCTTCTGAACGCTTCTTCAGAGCACACTGTGAACAAGTGATAAGAGAGGTCCATTATCGGACTCGCCAATTGACTTGTTTGAAAATCTATCAATTTCACACCGTCCGGATTTTTCTTTCCTTCATTCTGAAAAAAAAGTGGAGTTTCATCGAATATGTTTAATAATTTATTCAATACGTTTTGTCTCGACGAACTGTAATCAATATATACAGACAGACACAAGTATTGAGAATGACAACGAATTATTGTGGAAAAATCTGCCAACATAGGTTTGTTTTTGTTTTCTTCATTCGAAAGAGAAAATTTTATAATTTAGTATGTTATATTTGGCCTTAGCTACGAGAAAGTGGGCATGATATTAGACGATGCATGTTTTAAACAACCGTATCAGGTTTATTAAGCAAATCTTTAACTACTGCATGACTTTTAGGACAGGGTTGCCGGATTTGCGTATGCGGAAATAATGTAAACGATTTTAAATCAATGTCTAATTAAATTTTAACATTTTTAATAAATATAAACCTTTGATACCTCTGACCAAAAAGCATGTTCGAATACTATTGGGAAGTAATCGTATTATATTACTTTCTGTGGGAAGTTTTGCTACAGAAATTTTTATTTAGGTGAAACCAGAAAATTTATTTTAGTTGAAATCCGAAATTTTAACTATAGGTTTAAATATTTTCTCTATTATTTGCAGAACTGAATTGCAAACTTGGTGATGCCCCTTCCAGGATGGAGATTATCAGTCTGGTATGCGCGAATTTATTTTGTACCATTGATAAATTAATACTTACATCTATAAAAAATTAGAAAAGTCGGTGGCATTAAAAAAAATAAGTTACAGTAATTGCCAAAGACGGTCTGTGTTAAAGATTACATAAGCAAGCTTTAACATTAATACCTCGTATTTAAACATAAAGTTGTTAGCCCAACAATCGCCGTGAATCAGAACACATGGCTTTACTTTCCGGGTAACAGAGTCATGCCAGGTCTCATATATTTTGTCATGAAACTTCTCTTTGAATTTTTTCAGCAAGCCGAATTCATGATTATCTGTCAGTATTTTAGTAACGTTTTCTTCAGCTTGTTCTAAAAAGCCTTTAAACGCATCCGTCCTGCCCACGATCGGCCATAAGCTCTGAATGTTGGACAGCCGTTCAAACAGTTTCGGATTTTGTTCGGCCAAGGCCAACGAAGTTGCGTGCCACTTTCCGTATGATCTACCGCGGATGTCGTAGCTGATTGCTTTCAAGTTTTGAAGCGCTATTACTTCGTAGTCCTCTGATATGAATGTACCGAAACACTCTGGTAGAAAATCGATCGGTTCTAAGTTCTTCTCCTTCAAAAACTGCTGAAACGCAGGAAATACATTCCTATACATGTGAATTTCCCGTTCGAACGCCAACCGCACTGGAAATTTTTTTCTTAGGTCTTCCCCTCTTTTGCCGAATTTAAGAACCAAACGGTATTTCTGGAAATTATTATTTTTCGGCGTCACTTGTGCGAATATTATGTCCCCCAGATAACCGTCACCTTTCTCCGTTGTACCGCCATAAGTCACCTCGAAGTCGCCTATATCGTCATTTACAAATATTTTGTCGATAAATTCGTGGACCACTAATCCGTTAGCTTCAGCGACATTCATCTTGACTTGTAATGTAAGGACTCGCGCCCACGAGATCTCTTATATTAAGAAGATCATTTTCTATGATAATAATTGCGATTTTTATAACGCAATCATTGAACAATGTACACCGACGTGCCTAACAATATTGACACATTTGTGTTCTAATAAATGTGAAATTCTTCATTTTTAACGGCACCACGCAATTCACATGTTTTATAAACATTAGGCAAATAAAATATTTGACAAATATTGAGAAAAAAGTTGAAAAAAGTGAAAAACAACAATAGCTCCAATTTCGAAACCGACAATGGAGTCAATATATATTTATATTTATTAGAAGGCGAATTATATTTAGAAGGGGTATCCTTTTCTTTGTCATACACATTAATTAATAGTGACAGATAAGTGTAATAAGAAATTATTCCAAGTTTTCCACCTGCTGGGGTCATTTGGGGTTGAATGATTTGTTAACGGGAACTTTGTGAAATCAGTTCAATTTTTTCTTGAACTAATTGACTGTGATCTATTTTGACTTATTTTACCTGACAACTCAGTAAGTAAATTGATAATAGCACATTATGGAACACGTTTGGTAAACTTTTTTTTTCTACTCCCGTCTGTAAAATACCTAATTACCCACCGATCTAGAGTGCGGGAAGCGTCACTTTACCACGTCAGTTTCGTTTCCCACGGATCCGAACCACTTCGGACATTTCCGCACGGGTTTGGGAGCAATCGGATGTTTTCGGAGATATTTCCCACGCTTTGAATTTTGAGGTTTGTCAATTCTGACGGTCATGTTAGTGAATGTATTCGTGTTGTTTTGCGAAACTGTACCCAAAAACTAGCGGTCGTAAAAAGTATAGTATGCAACGCGTGCGGTAAACTTTTTAAGTCACTCGTCTATTAAATAAACTCGTGAGTGAAATGCTGTTTACCGCACTTGTTGCATCATATATTATTATGAATTTATTTACTCAGTTGTCAGGTAAAAAAATGACAATGTCATTTTGTCATTTGTGATTCTGTTATAGGAATAGGCTTAAACAGAAAGAAAGCTAAATGTCAATCAATTTAAAATGATCAAAATATATGTTTATTTTGAACTCCCTGTAGCATCTGTAGTATTTTTTAGAAAAATTCAAGTATTGGAAAAACTATTAGGAGCGGGTATGTATTATTATTAATAAAAATAAATATGTTTTAATCGTTAGACTTTTTTGAGCCACCATGTATACTCGAAATAATTGTTCACCCTAACAATCTTTACATCTTTACATATTCCCATACTATGTTTTCTCTATTTTTTTCCAAAGGAAAGGTACTGCAAATGACTCGGTGTCGCCGCTTGTTTGTGTTTTTCGATTCAAATGGCGCTAGACTGTCGTCTCTTTAAGTTGCCTGACGCGTGCCCAGTTTTTTGTACTATGTTTCTTGTTTACTCCCGCCTGAGGGACTTCAGCAAATTACCAAAGGAAATTTGAATAAAAATAAAAACTAAAACTAAATAAATTGATTTTTCAAAATTTCTGCACGGAATATTGTTGGTATTTATTTAAAGTCTTTTTATTTATTCAAAAATGGTCTGTTCGATAAATTTTAAAATTTTTGAGGAATCAGGGTGAATGACATGAAACACATACGTTGAATATTAAACAAACTAGATTAGATACGGCAAATATTTTTTACATTCTTTCATCTCGGTTGATATCGGAACATACATTTATTATTAGATGATTTTTTAGAAAATTTAGGGATTGATAACAGTTGGTACAGTAATTATAGCAATAACGTTATTGCGATGCGATACCAACGCGGTTTCTATCAACCACTATAAAAAATTTTAGTTGCAATATAATATGCAGTAAAAAATAACTTAAAAGATATACATTTTATTATAAAAAAAGTTGATACAACAATCAAATTTTAAAAATGAACAGAGTTAAGATTTAAGTTATTTATTTTTATTTCATATATTAACATTTATGTTGGTTGGTTTGTCATGGGACCACAATCAGTTATTATTACAAACTAGAAATTACAACTTTTCGAGAACAAATACTTTTGTGTAAGTTCACAAAATGTAAAACATGTAGAGTTACGTTTGAAATAAGCTAAATAAAATGTCCGATAGTTATAATTACATTTTAAATAATTTTGTATAGACAACTGAACAAGAGACTAATCAGATTTTGTAATAGTAATGGTTAAGTTTTTCGCTACTTTGTTAATTAACTAGTGATTTATTGTTTTTATTAAGCTTCTCTAGTTTCTTTAGACATCAATGTCAAGCAACAGCCATTCCATGATACTGAAGATATTTTGTGCAGAGAATACTATTTGAATTCCTAGAACTCTTTGTTAATCTCGTGATACTTATTTGAGTGACTCAAGAAATACCACTTATACTTTCTCTTCCAGAACCAATCTGAAAGCGGCAATGATCCTTTCGTTTAACTGGGTTTTGTGTTTTCCTTGCACCTTTTTTGTTAAATCCATGAATGTATTCTCGTCAAAATCTTCCACATTCATCGCATCGGATTTGTCCAGCAAAATGATCGGCAATACCATACCGACAAAAAAAATGCCAATTAATGAGTATTTACGCCACTGTTCGATCAGAGACGAGTAGGGAAATGCAATGTCTGGGTTGCTTCCCAATTGACGCAAGTAATCTGATAGGGACCTGTAGTAAATACCCAAAAGCTCTTTTAAATTAGCTGAATCGGTTGGTGCGATTACGGCACAAATATGATACGCCAGGTCAAGAACGGGACTGGCCAATTTGGAAATTTGAAAATCCAGCATCACAACTTTTGTCGGGGATGATTTGGTAAAGTCTGTGGTCTGAAAAAAAACGATTTTGATATGAATAATAACAATGACTCGTTGGTAAATAATAATTACATATAATGTTTATAGCAAGGCGCTTGTTATAGGGTAAAGATGTTTTTGTTATTCGAGTAACTAGTAAGCTTCAATAGAATAACAAAAATAATCAATAATTCTGAAATAAATTCCGACACTACTACATATCGCCTATAGTCATATACCCCTTATTTTCTGTTGGTTAGTATTTCCACCGAGAAATAACTACCATTTCAATCATTAGGTCAAGACCAACAAAAAGACAATCGAACATAGCGTTCTGGAACAAACCAAAATAATATTTTTTTATAGAACAGATCTTAATCTATTTTAAGTCTATAATAACACAAAAAAGGCTGTTTGGTTTTAATATTTTAAAAACCAAGGAAACAGACATTTTATAATGTCGGGGCATTCAGATGAGACTTAGACACTTTTAAAAGAAACTACCCTTCGTAAATGAGATAGACGAAAACGGATGCCTGTGTCTGGTGCACAATTTTCATAAAAAACAGGATGGTAAAAAACGTTTTGTTGATGACATTAAAAGTCTTTGTTCTAAAAATATAGTACTTTATAAATTCTACTTGAAAAGGTGCCTTCGAAATGTTTTCACACAGAATTTTCCATAGCAAAAAGTTATTGAATTATTTTTAAAATGCACATTTGCAAAGAACATCCCAACTATGTTTTTTAGAAACATTAAAACACATGACTTCGTCTATCTTGTTTATAGAGAATAGTTTTCATTTTAATTTTTTTACTTAATATTGAATTAGTATAATAATATTTGTCAATTGACAAGAGCCACATAATTTTTTTTATCTGTAGATATTTATGAAAGCCCACGGACTTCCACCGATTTCGTTGAATTTCCACTGTTTTTGTGGATTTATTTGGATCATATTTAAGTTGAATAAAAGGAAACTCCAAATACAATCAATTCTCTTGACAAAAATAGCAAAATCTTGGAACTGTAATCATTAAATATGATCGTCATCAGAATTTCGGGAAATTAAATAATTGGTAACTATTTTTTACAACTGTAGCGAATTAAGTACACGAGCGCTGCGGTCAAGGTTCTAATAAACAAGGATAACGTTGTTCAATGTTATGCATACGCAAAATCAACCGGACGCACATGCCCACTGAGTAGACCAAGCCACCATATTTAAATGCGAGAGTTGCTTTGTTGATTTAACACGCGTTTAAATTGCATGTTATAAATTTAGACTTTTGCACTTAAGTCAAAGAAATTGCAATTGTAATTTAGGTAATAGAAATAATTTTTGAGTATTCATAAGTAACGACTTATTGCAATCTAATAGGTTGGGGTTTTTGTTCAATCTGAGCCTCACCGATTTTTAACTTCTGAAAATATAATGCGTTATACATATACTTTTCAGGTCCATCAATTACAGCACATTAGACCTATACCACTAGTAATCATTATTATTATCACTATTATCACTATTAAAACAATTTAAACGGTTACTTGTTTAGTCAATATTGTCCTAATTTCCTAAAAGCTCTCTGTTTCTTTTATCCAAAACTCTTAACTTAAAATATAATTAATTAATGTTAATTTGATATGTTTTGGTTCTGATATAAAAATTGCCGTCAGTAATGTGGGTTAGATTGTGTCCATTGTTTATCTGTAATATATTCGACGCGATTTGAAGAAAATACTGTTTTTTTTTCGATAAAATATCTAGTCGAAAAATATGGCCGAATAATTTCAAATTATTATCAATCCATGACTAAAATTCACTTTCAATAATAATTTAGACATTTTTTCTCGACAACTTATTTTCATTCGTTGCCAGTCCCTAGTAGGCATAGCTAATTTGACTATATCATCACCAATTGTAATGAATTATGAACGAATGCGATTTACGTAAACGCAGCTAATTCGATTTTAATCAATAATTAATAACAGCGACTTCGATGACTTATTTAATTTTTTAAAATAATGCGTAAAATATGGAACTCGTAAAATTTGGAATAGTTAAAAAATTAACAAGATAAAGATGTATATAGTAAAGTTTCATTAAATAATTAAATTATAAATTAATTTAAATAAACAATAAAATTTAAAAAGTATGATAAACCTGGGTAGTCTGATACAATAAAGTGTATTTGGTCAAGAATGTTGATAACATTTTGTGCTGGCTGTCGGGACGTAAATTTTAGAACTCCATCTTATCAAAATCGCCAAGATCTTACATTGCATTTTCAGCTTAAGTTCCATTAGAGGCCTAACCATATAAAATACTATTCTAATGGACATTCAATAAACGGTTGATATACCGTTTTGCATTTTGCTTCAAAAATATTGTGCGAATTATCCGACTGGTGCTATACGTACGTCGTATTTAAACATGAAATTATTGTTCCAACAATCTCCGTGAGTGATCACGCTTCGTTCTTCGTACGCGGTTATTAAATTTCTCCAGGTTTGTTCGAAGTCCCCAGTGAATCGCTCTTTGAATTTTCTGAGCATTTCTATCTCTTTACTTTCTTCCAGAATTTCATAAAGATGTTTCTCCACCTGCTTTAACATGGGTGGAAAGGTCTCCGACGCAGCAAAAGCCGACCATACGCATTCCATTTCTGACAGCTTCTTAAATATCTCAGGTTGTTGCTCGCGCATCGCGAAAGAAATCGCGTGATATTTTCCATAACTTTCTAGGGTTAATTTCATATGGTCCATATTACAGGGTGTGAATCGGTCATGGAGTTCGTAACCTATTTTTTTCAAATTCTGACAGAATATAATTTCCATATCTTCGGATAACAGTGTACCAAAACATTCGGCCACAAACTGGAACGGTTCAACTTTCTTTTCTTTGACGAACTGCTGGAAACTGGGAAACACTTTGCTGTACATGTGAATTTCCCTTTCGAACGCCACACGTACGGGAAATTTATTGCGCAACTCTTTGCTTGGTTTTCCCGCTTTCACGACCATATCATAGTTTTTAGATTTCCCATTTTCCTTTACAGCGGTTACATGAATAAAGGTTATGTCGCCCAGATAACCATCACCTTTTTCCGTAGTGCCTTCTAGAGATATCTCGCAATCTATTACGTCGTGTTTTTGAAGCACTTCTAGCACCGAGTCTCTAATTGACAAAGGATTTTCCTCTGATGCACTCATTCTCGCACAGGATTGCATGCGACTGCAGTCGAAATCTTTTCAAATTCCTGTATACACGACTGACCTTCACCGCTTTATCTAATGACTAGCAATTTCAATAGCTGGGGGAAGCATTCGGTCATTTCGTATTAGAACGTTGTTGCAAATTGATGCAACAAGCTATGTGGTTTACCAAAGTAATTCCGTAACTCACTTAGTCTTCTCTACCAAGTTCGGAGAAAGTCTAGGTCGATGCCTGTGATTAAAGTTTCACACGAGATACACTGCAGAAAATCCTTTTTTCTAAATGAAACTGTATGAATCGTTTTTTGCCAAAAATTGTAACCCAAAAATAGAGACAAAATATACATTAAGTACATTAAAATAGTAAAGTACACAGGGTGTTATCGAAACGACCTCTTATAATTTAATGAGCGAATTTGATGTAGAATTCAGATAGAACAGGCTGTTATCTGTGTAGAGCCTCATCAGGACGACTGTAGTCGCCATTGAATATAACAACTGACAAACTAAAAACCGCGATACCTATTAAAAAACACAACATGTTTTTTTAGCACAATGTTAGTTTTCATTTGTCTTTATTTGTAATTACTTGAAAAGGAGAAAATATTACGTGGCTAGTTAGATTCGCACAGAGATAGCATTCTTGTCTTAAATAAGGAAGCAATCCTAACTTTAATCGTTTTGTTAAGGTAAATTCACCTTTGATGTCTGTTATTTAAAAGTTAGGAATTTCATCAAATCTTAATAACAGCTAAATATATCAAGTACTATTTTATGTAACCTTGCTTATCGCGTCATTTATACTCTAATAGATCATTTTTGTTTTGTTTTTGGATCAGCAAATTGTGATTTGTTAGCTGTCTCTCTATTTCGACTACGATAAGCATTTATATCATCGCCATTTTGTTTCAATCTATTTCTAAAAATTTGCAATTGTTAAAAAAATGAAGGCCATGAAAAACTAAAATTGTTTTCGCTCGCTATAACAATTCTTAGCAATATCGGGCAGTTTTGCTTTTCTCTTGTGTGGGTTTTCAAAAACCTAGAAATTTTTATAATAAAATTGGAATAAAATACAGAAATTTCATTTTAAAGAAGTATTGTCGCCCTTCTAAAATTTCAATAGGTGTAGGTCGAGTGATCAATTTAAATGTTTTCATAGGAGATCTCGGTGACTGTCGGAGCTACGCAAGAATGGATGGTATGTTGTCGATAGCTATTTTGAAAAATCATTGTGGTCGTTTGTCGAGCAAAACGAAAACCATAAACGAAGATCCAGTTAGTATTATACTTACTACCGAGCAAGCTATTCAGCAAGGTGTTCAGATTCCTTTTGAGACGAGTAAACCAAGTCAAAATCATTGTCGGCCAGGGTCCGAAAGGGTGCGAAAACGTCCGGTGCACGTGCATCTCTTTCTATCCCGTAAAAGTTTCCAGTAACCACAGAAAGTTTTGGATTCATCGACCGAACGACGTGTTCAGAATATAGTTTCGGATAAAGCGAGACTTAGATTTAAGTGGATGTTGCCGTCAAATTCGAGTCAAGATTAAAATGGAATGGGACAGGATACGCCGAGGAAGGTTGGCCCCCGAAAGTTTTACGTCTGTTTAAAGACCCTAATAGAATAAAGGCGGCATTTTATTATTAATTTGGGGATTTTCTTGGTCCATCTTTCGGTAGATCTCAAATGGGTTTGTCAACAACCTTTCCGTGAAATAGTTTCTCGGATGTGTTTGCAAAAGCGAAGTTTTTTTCATGTTGAAGTCCTTTGAAATTACTTTTGTATACTATGTAATCCAATTTTCACAACTTATCTCATTTATTTATTCTTTATTTATTTATTTGATGGATGAACCAGTTTACAAGTAAAAATCTATAATAAATAAGTACCTAAGTAAGTAAAGTAAACGAAGTGGAACAACCAGCACAAATATGACAATAGACAATCTAATTATACAGGAACTTTTATGTTTATCACATTGGTTTTAAATGCGACGAACCGACCAAGTTTTAACTGATTGTATAGGGTGGGCCGTTTATCTTGGGAAACTACTTTATCTATAGAGCTTGTTTAATTCTTCGGGGGCGATTATCAACTTTAGTATGTTATTTTATTTTTGAATTCTATACAAAATTTTAGACATATTTTGTGTATAATGTCCTATCCCTGGGTCTAACCGTTTTTGACATTTTTAATTTTTTATGAATGCAAAAATGACATTTGCAAGGTGTAAAATTTGTTCATTGTTGGTTTTAGATAAAGAACTCGAATAAAGGATTTCATTCGACACATATTCATACAGGGTACACGAAAAATAATATTAACAAAGAAATTAAAAATTTTAACTTTTTAAAATGGAAACTACCTATTTTTATAATTCTGTCATATTTAGCATTAAAAATAAAGGCAATTTTATATAAGGTTGTATATACCCAATATTTTTACTTTTTGAAATGGTTCCTTTTAAACATTTGCCAATCACAAATAATGTGCTGTTGCCATGTAAGTTCAGTTAGTGTAAGGTGACTATGAGAGCGTTTAAAACAAGTGCTACAGTGCTGCCACTATGATGTACTCTTTCATAGTTGATCATAATCTTGTCGATGCGCTTACGAAGATCCAAAGATTTTGTAAATGTATGTATGCATTATTAATACAGAATAAGGTCAAGGATACACGATTAAGTTGGTGAATATTTTATTAGGGAACGATCAATAAAAAATTAATAGCTTACAAAGGATAGTAATTGTTGTAACAGTTGTTCAATATGTCCTCCACTTTGAGCAATACAAGTAGTATAAAGAGTTTCTGAATACACAATGGTATTTTTAACAGATGCCTTCTCTTATCCGACGTTTCCCACCCTATACACTATAAGCATTGTATTAAGGAACGAGTACCCTCCGTAGTTAGCATGACGGAAAGAAATGCGAAACATTGAGTTATCGGGGTATGCCATTTAACAGAGCTGGACAATAAAACATACAATTAAAAAATGTTTTCTGTCATTCTTCAAGTTTCTGAACCGTACAATAGATTACTTTCAATTTTGAGTGTTACAAATATTCTATTTCCTATGCTTCCTTATTTTTTACTCCTGAGGATTCCGTTCAGACAGTTAATTGCTTTTCGTGCCTGTATCACTCTCGTTCTTATTTCTTTATCGACTTAACTTGTTTTGTCGATTGTAACTCCTAGGTATTTATACTTCTCACAGGTTTCGATTTTTCCTAAGTTTCCAAATGTATGTTTCAACTTAGCCTTCCGATGCACAAGTGTTTAGCTTTTTCTACATTCATAATTAGACCTCAATTTTCGTAGATGTCTTTAGTTTACGTGTCATGTATTCTAGGTTTTTGTAAATTTATTTGCGCCTTTGAAGCTAAAGACCTTAAAAACACTCTCCGAGAAGCTTCAATGTTACTTATAAGTGTACTATAAAAGTGTAAAGCAGCTTGAAGCAAGCCGGAGTATGTTGTTTTTTTTTGCATATTATAAAACCCAGGTGTCGCGTTGTTCTATTTATAATTACACATTAGTGGTGCACATAAACCATTAACCTGGATTACTTTTAATGAGCGACACGTACTACGCGAGTAAAACTCGAACTAGAGAATATTTGTTCACCTCGCGCCGGAGCATTTGAGCACCATTTACGACTTGATCACTTTGGATATTAATTCGTCGGCAAATAACAGCCAATATGAAATCCATAATTAGCGGTAATAATATCACTTAGAAATAGGTTGTAAAAAACTTCGGAAAAAACTTTAATCTTACGAGAAATCTGCATGCACCGGCTGGGTACTACCAGACGGAATGCTTTGTATTCGCACAACAAGCGCTTCATCAAAACTCGGGAAAAACTCCAGAAGATTATGTCTTCTTATTATTAGGATATGCACTGCGGAAGAGTTATAACAGTCCCTATGCAGTTTTGTACGTTTTGCTCTTTAGTTAGGCAAAATAGAGTAGTCAGTAATGGAATTAAAATGATTATATTTGGTGTTAGCACTTTTTTCGGCAATTAAGACTGGAAGCTCTCGGCTAAACCATGGTAGGAAATTTCTTGATTTAAAAAATTTTCAACCGCACAATACTAAACATTGTAAAAATACTATATAATGTGTAATTTAATTTAATGACAAGAGAATCTCGTAAGCAAGGTGGTGTTCTGTTATATTTAACAAATTCTCAAACGAAATACAAAGCTAAGTTTCAAACATTCTATTTTATTTTTAATATCAATTATCTAGTGGATAACGGTGTATAACGGGTATGCCAATAAGAGCAAAAAGTGTGTTAGGGAAACTGATGATCCTCGAAATTTTGAGTTTCTGAATAGGCGTAATTGACATCTTGACTCTTAAAACCCGTGTTATATAAAATCTTCTATTTACGATAGCTGGAGTGACTATTGTTTTAAATCATACCAAAGTTTTCTGTAGGCTATCGATTGTGCTATGAATGAGCCGAATGATGTTACTTAGCTTGCATCCAGAGGGCAACATTGATTTTACAGTCAGTTTTAATTTATATTAATAAATCTCTGCTAAGCCGTGAAAAGAATGCCGTAAGAATCAAGCCGGACCTACTGGATTCTCAGAGTACTTTTCCATCTGCTTAGCCCCCAACTTTAATCTTGGATATCGAATGACACAAAAGTGTAAAAATAATTGTTGACACGAAGCTACTAGTTCACCTAGTCATACAAAAGGTGACTAATTTGTTGAGAAATTTTAGCTTTGGGTAGATTCTAACTAAAACAAATTTATATGAAGCTATTTTTACATGAACTGGAAGCACTTACAATCCTAACTAAATTAAATACGGTATTTAATTCACATCGTTTTCGAAATAAATTAGGGTACAAAAGCCTTTTGTGACCAGATTTTGTTAAGCTTTTCCCAAAAGGAATAAAGAGCCTGCCACCCATGTTCATAGCCACCGGTTGCTTGGTAACCATCGTCGCCACTTTCTCAAAGTGCATTTTCATCCGCCTTTTATCTCGGGAAAACCCCCGTCGGGTGATTCACTTAACGAAAACGGTC